CCGGCCCGGGGGAAACCATTTATACCCCGCCCCGGGCCCCACCAGTCCAACTCACACGGCCGGCCTGACCTCGCTCCCAGACCTACGGCCCGACGCCAGGTGAGGCCCAGACGGCTCACCGAGGCCAGGGGACAGGGCGAGGCTCGGGCTAGCTCACAGGAGGGCTTCTTGGGCCAGAGGGCCTGGGCGCCTGGGGGCCGCTGCCTGCAGTGGGGGCTTCCAGGGAGCCAAGAGTGAGAAAGGGAGACCGGGGTGGTGGCCGGGAGGGAACAGGGGTCCTGGACGGGACCTGGTGCCTGGGCCTCACCTCTGGGGCTCTGGAAGGGGAGTCCGTGGGTCAACCAACCCAGGACCTGAGCCCCTGAGGCCAAATCAGGAGCAATTTCTTCCCCACACTTGGGCCCAAAGCCAAAGGAGCAAGTTAAAAATAGCGGCGTTGCCCCAGTGGCCACCTGCGCTGGCCCGTCCCGCCCTCCCTCGGGACAGCTGCAGCTCCTCGCCCCGCCTGGGACATTTTGGGCACTTTCTCCTCTTACTTCTCACCCCGGGGAATTCCAAGACGTTGCCCTTGAAGGACGTCGGAGGCCGGGGTGGGGGGAAGGGGGTTCGTGAGCCTGCTTGTCCGGGCCTGGACAGCCCACATGCCCGGGACGCCGGTGCCAGAGGGATGCCCGGCCAGGACTGACATCTCTGCCTTTCTTGCTCCACAGGCGCTAAGCTCAGGACCTCAGGATGGGAGAGTAAGTGGACCCCGGCCCCGTCCCTACAGCCCCCGCTGCCCCCGCCCCATTCCCATATGCCATGGCCACATGCTCCGTGGCTTTTTCCCCGGCCGTGGCCCTAACTGCTCTCTTCTCTCTCCCTTGCCCCTGCTTTCCTGCGTCCTGCCTCCTGGGACAGTGAGGAGGTGAGACCCCGGGGGCCGGGGAACGTGGAGAGGGTGGGGCGCACCACCCGGGATAGGTCAGAGGGCACAGCCTCCAGGCCCCAGCCCCGGGGAAGACGACCTGGTCCTCCTGCTGGTGAAAGTGCCCCGCCCCCTGGCCAGACGCCGCGGAGAGAGGAAGTGGCTGCCCGGTGCCTTGTGGGGCAGGGGAAGTGGGGCTGAGGGCCTGGGCACGGGTCGCCACTTCTTCTTTCTGATTCCTGCACTTCCTCT